ACAGATGCCCCGAGTGACATGAAGACGTACAAGAAATTCTGATCCAAAGTGGTGCTCACCTTAAAAATGCTACCTGGGTTTGATTCACGTACCTTCAAAAGATATTGATGAACGTAATTGTACGATTCATCAACTTTGCCACGTACTTCATCAATAGCTTTCCGTTTTGACCTCCACGCTTTTTGGTACATCAAGTTTATCCCATATTGACTTTGCATGTCGTCAATGATATCAAGGGGATTATTATTATATGCAGTCTTCGTGTTCGTGAATTTCAACTTGATAAAATCACTAACAACGGTTGAGGTCGCCTGTCTCTGGTTACTTGTTCGAACATCCAACGCACAATTATGTTCAGTCCCAACGCCCCTTATCTTAAACGTGTTTGATGTACCGAGACGTGATGCTTTCACAAACCATGAACAATCACTCAATACACACCTATATAAATAAGAGCGGATTGTTTATTGAATGTAATTGTAAATATATATATATATATATATATATATATATATAACAGAAATGACAGAATATATAATGACAAAGTATATATAACTGAATATATAACTATATATCACTGAAATATCACCAGATAAAGTTATATTTTACCTTACATATACCATTTATATACTCTGAGTAAAATTATATTACATGTTATAACGCATATATACAATAAATATAAGACAGGAACAAATGTATACTTTATATATACCTTGTGCAAACTTATACATACCATACATATACCATGTGCAAACATCATTTCAACCTCAACAAAAAACAAAACAATAAACGAAATAATTTTTACCTTATATATATACCATATTATATACGCTGTTCAAAATATAACCGAAACCTTATGAAAAAACGCCACAATATATGTACCAGAATATATAACTAAATATCACTGGAATATACTAAATAAAATATAACCATTGAAGACGCCTGAAAAAAAAGAACGACACACTAAAAGTTTGCAAAAATGATACACACCTTACATAGTACTGCCGGGAGCAAGACTTCTCCACCTTGAATTGATACTGATGCTTTATAGCATCCATTGTCAACAATTTCTGCAACTCCTTTTTATCCTTTATCAAACGACCCGCAACAATTCGAGAGTCAACATTTTAAACGAATGTCAACCCCATACCACTATCAGGGTTTATGTTAAGCATATTCTCGGTATATGCTGCAACTTGTACCATATCCTCAGCTACATTACTCGCGAAAGACATGAAATTTATCGAGCCATCTGGGATATCAGGGTACCTGTCAAGACCCGGGTAACTCAATGGTGCAACATTTGTCTCGGTATTCATAGAATTCGTATTTAATTCATTCTGCGACGAATTTTCAGCAATACTATGAGCCTTAACCTCCAAGCATATCGGATACTTCGTGTAGTCAGCTTCTGTAGACCTCAAGAAAAAATAGAAGCTCATGCTTTTGTCGTCTTTTATGGACATTGGTGGGCAATCTTCCTTCAGCTTATATTTCAGTTCAATAACAGATGATTGGGACATCACCCCGAACTCAGCACACAATATACCACATAATTCTTCGAAGGTGCAATCTTTTCGTACCAAAACACCTGAAAGACGGAAGTTCACGTAATCGTTCATGATCCATTCACCACCGTGATGTATGAAAATCATCATGCTCGAATCCATCTACAAAGAAATTTTCGATGAAATTTTCGATGAAATTTTGGTTGATAAATTTTCGCAGCGATTTTCGATGAAATTTTCGCTCGACACACTCTCAATATATGGTGCTGTGATTTTGGTTGATAAATCCGGTCGATCAGCGCTCGATATATGTGGAGCGATTTTGGGTGAAAAATCCCATCGATCCACTTTCAGTTTATGTGCATCGATTTGGGATCGTGAGCTCGTAAAATCACAGAAAATCTGATGGAGCGTTGGAGAGTCCTTTTTTTGAATCGTTCTGTATCTTCTATCTGTTACCATCGCGTAATTCTCGGCAATCAGATATGGAAGGGATGAAGTTACCCTGTAACTGAAGATTAGGTATTCGCGTAAATATATTTGGTCTATCAAGTATCTTCCAAATTATTTGTTTCCTAATGATAAATTTGATATTATTTGAATTTCACGTAGGAAGACTGAAAATTTCCCTATAAAATGTGCTTTGCTTGCACTGTTAAACTAACTGAAAATTGAGTCATCAATCCTACCCTCTCTTTTATGTTAGCCCATTGGACTCATAACAGGCTCCGACCCACGTATCATTTCGACTCTAAAAAAGCAAATGTACGATTATTGATCTTTGTTACCTCTTCTGCGTCACAATATTTTTTCCATCAAGGTAATATTATTTGTTCAAAATTAGTGAGTTGCCACTTTTGCAATCTAATGACGGATTACATTATTACAATAATATATTGGAAAGTGCAAAATTCCATTTTGTGTGCTTAAGGATAATTTATGATTGTTACAATATTTTGTAATTCAATTATGTATGTATGTGAAAATTATTGTTTTAGTTGCTTTTATTTGACTATATATCCCCACAATTTTTTTCATTAAAAAACTTTATTTATACATTGTGCCTTTGACATTTACATTATGGAATTGTGTCCTACACATCATGTATAAACAAAACGATTGTTACACATTAATGCACATATTTTAGGAATACACTTACTTATACACTCCAATATCACATATAAAAACAAAATAGCTGTTACACATTAATTGTCCAACTCAACTAAAATCTATGTATTCTCTCCTACAAGAAAATCATCTACAACTCTAAGTAAAATCTATTTCTTTCCTATAAGTACACAATCTCCTCAACTTTGTGTTTGAATGCCCTATTTAATTTTAATTTGTAGGGACAATAGCAAGTAGAGAAAAAAATGGAGTGCGACCACAAGGGATGTGCAATGCTTTGCATGCTTTTGCTCTTTGTTACGGCATTAATCATTTTCCCTTCCTATATGGAATTTGAGCCTCCCCTTCATATTGCTATAGTTTTTTGCTCTATCCCCTTGTCTATTTTGCTTTACTCAATCTTCATGGCGATCTTTATTTGGTGAAGCATGTAAGTTTAATTTGGTTGTAACTAGTCTTCATCAAATTAATTTATGGATAGGCGAAGAACTTATATTGTATAATGTTGAAGATTAATGATGAGGCATATGTACTAATTGATTAATTGCAGTTGAGTTGTCTTTGCTTATGGGTATATGGAGGCTAACAATTTCTAGTATTATGAGTTTGGTTGATTTTGAGTTTTCGCTTGTTGCAGGGTTATGGTGTCTGCTTTTTAGGGATGGGTTGTCCGGGACAGTTCGAGATTTGGCATGTCTCGGTATATATGTGTCCCGCTTCTATATATTAACTGATTCGGGAAAGGTCCGAGACGAGACACCGTCCCAAATTGGTCGGTATCATTCAGAATCGAGACAAAAAAAGTAAAAAAAATTAAAAAAAAATTGTTTGTTTCAAGTAGAAAACTAAATGTGTAAAGCAAGATCATCAAATAACAAATATTTAGCAAATTACATTAGTATTTTTTTTTTATATATATGCCCAGTCACTTAAACCAAAGACTACAAATTCAATATTTGCTTTTCTGACAAATGAAAGTTTGAAATGTGAAGAGTGAAGTAAAGTCTTTTTCTCTCATTCTTTTCTCGACGTTGACTTAGACACGTATGGGTCAATCAATCAAAATCCATTGGGTTGTTTATTTGTTAAGTTTTGTTTTTTGGGCTGGTTTAGATTGTTTAGTTTTGGGCTTTTTATATTAAAAATTTATAATGTTGAATGCTAAATTCACATACATAATGGATTAATGGACCTATTGTTAATTGTGTAACTACTATATATAATACTAATATAAAATATAATAATCATGTATAATATAAATATGTATATATAATATTTTGTACAAAGTAATTAAACGGGACAAATGAGACAGTTCATGACAAAAAATATTCACAATCGAAAACCTTTCAAAACCTTATTATTTAGAATTGGACCATTTTTACCGGTTGGTATGGGAAAATTCTGTTTTTTCGTCCTTCCCTTATGCTTTTTGCCCATTTTATTTTAAGAACTTGCGCAAAAAAATTTTACTAATTGTTTTGATTTTGAATTATTAAATATAGATCAATAAATTAAATAATTAAATATATATTTTGAACAATTTATCAAATAATGGTAAAAATTTGCCTAATACCACTACAAGAAAATGATGAAATTCCAACTGCAATTTCAATGGATATTTTAATGCTATTATTTCTGTTGGAATTTTTCAACGGAATCCAACGGAAATTCCAACAAAAATATTCCGCTGGAATGAGTTTTCCATTAGATTTTGACGATTCCAACGGGGGTGGAAATAAAAATTTCAACAGAAATTGCATATTCCAACGAAAATTCCTACGGTAAAAAGCCGTTGGAATCATCAAATTTCATTTGAAATTAACAATTTTTATGTAGTGTACCATCCATCATTTATCATAAATTGAAGGGGAGAATTTGTGTGGTCACGGAAAATGAGGCAAAATGTTTAACATGGTGAGTATAGTAGCACTATAATTTGGAGTGGCTAATTGAAAAAATAAAAAATAATACTTAAAAAATAAAAATAAAAATAAAAATAAAAACCGCTTGAATTGGAACTCACACACACACCAAAAGAAAACAATGCTCAGAAAAGCGTGCGTTGTTAAATGGGAAGAAGGGAAAAAACAGAGGCGGCCATAACTACTAATTGGTGTAGAAAGATTACAGTTTTATATATACATAAAATAAATGTCGTGTGGCGGTCAAAGCTCCACCAGAACTGCTGCCGGACTCTGAACCCACCCCGCGAATGCCCTTCTCTCGTTTGCAACGCCGATGCCACGTGTCCCCTCTCTCACGCAATTTTTTCTTTTTGCTTTGGCTCTATAAATGAGGGCACTTGCCATTTAACCATCACCGAACTTAATTAATTTCTCTTTACAGAACAANGCAGTGGAAATTATGGATGTTGGAGCCGCTGGGAACAATAATGGAGGCTTTCATGGCTACCGCAGGACAACCTCTGGTAACATATATAAAAAATACTATCTTTACTTACTTAGGGTTTTCTCTTTGCCTCATGCATCAAGAAAATCTTTACTTACTTGGCCATGTAGAGTAGAACATGCATCAGCATTATGATTAAAACCAAATCAAATAGAAAATGGAAAGTGGTTCTCCTACGTTGATTAGGGAATATATAAATTTTGTTATTTTTCGATTTCTTTAAGTTTGATTGGGTAATTTTGATTCCATTTTCACATACATATAAAACTTTTGCAGCTGGCTGTTGTTAATTCTTAACAATATATAAATATTAACGTGATTAAAAATTTTGAGGATAATATAACAAATATTTGCCTCTTTTCCTGCACAAGTTTGGTTGCCTTTAAAGCAGCATTTTCACTTAAAGCCCTTATCTTGTAATTATTATTTTATTTTTTTTAATTATATTGTACTGCTGTGAAAAATGACAAAATAAATATAAACAAGTGGCAAACATGCAACATTTGGAGAAGCCCACTGTCAACACTATAGGCTTTTACTTCACAGGGCTTAGTCATTTTCTGTCAATAATCTAGTTATTTAAATTATTCTATTTTTTCCTTTCCAGGCACCATTTATTTATGTTGTGTACTTGTGTTTCCTTTTTCAGTAGTAGTATATTTAATTAGTTATCATGCTTTAAAAGTACATGCACTCTGATGCATGCATGATGCAACTCTGCCTAAAGAATATAAGTACATAATTTAGGTTTCATATATGTTGGGGTATCAGATGACCAATTATGTTATTCCTTCAATATTATGTATTTTAATGTTCAAATTTTTCAGACCACACATTGTGACTGATTTGTTTTGATTTTGGATTTCTCTTGGACACTATATTTTAAATTTTGGTATCAATTTCTTTTGGGTGGTTGGGGTTGGGGTTGTGGTAGGGGTGAGGTTGCAAAGTCAAGAAATTAAGGGACTAGGGAACAAAATTAAGACACCAACATACACCTCTGGCTTTCGTCTTCTTTTCACCAATACTTTTGTCTTTTACTATTTGTTGGGTGAATAGTCTCCAGGCTGCTTCTCATATTTTGTCCTCTTTCAATTTACTACTTTTCCTTAATGGGCCAACCCAAAAAGTCCATTTCTACTAGGAACCCTGAACCCATCATTCATGTCATTAAAGCCCATTGAGTCTAATCAGAAACACGATCCACTTCACTCACCAATCTTTTACTCGGACCATCTTCATTGGTTTTCTTCTGAAAAAAAAAAAAAACTTGGTGTGGCAAAAACTCACATCCAATTCAAATCACAGATTATTCATCTTAACATTTCATTATCTCCCTTTCCTATACATCATATTCAAGTAATTTTGTCTGGAGTACAATGCAATTGCCTATATAGCTAGCAACAGTCCCTTATAGTTAGTTCCTGATGTAATAACAGTCTTTGAGCAGCACAAAAGTTGTTAGTCAGCTCTACTCATAACAACAAAACTTTTCGAATTTGCACACAGACACAAAACTGGACAACACCAGCCAGCCCAACCCCCACCCAACCGAGGAAGGGTCGGGTGAGTGCATGGTTCGTGAGCAAGACCGTTTCATGCCGATTGCAAATGTGATACGCATAATGAGGCGCATCCTTCCCCCGCACGCAAAGATATCAGACGACGCTAAGGAGACGATTCAGGAGTGCGTGTCGGAGTACATAAGCTTCATCACGAGCGAGGCTAATGACAGGTGTCAGCGTGAGCAGCGAAAGACCATAACTGCAGAGGACATCCTTTGGGCAATGTCGAAACTCGGTTTTGACGACTATATCGAGCCCCTCACCATTTACCTCCACCGCTACCGAGAGCTCGATGGTGGGGACCGCGGCTCACTCCGTGGGGACCCCTTATTAGCTGCAGTCAAGCGGGCCCCACTCTTCCACCAGCCACCGGCGATGGCTTTTCACCATGGCTTCTTTGGGGGACAGACGGTCAATTTGGGTTTCTTCAAGGACAATGGGAGTGTGGGGCCTTCACAGTTTCCTCACTGTAAGGAGTAGTAGCAGATGTGAAATTGCT